TGGGAATTTCCAGTGTGGGGGAACTGGGATCCAGCCAGTTCAACAGAGACACAGCCATGAACACTGTGAAACCCATGGGATAATGGGAATTTCCACTGTGAGGGAACTGGGATCCAACCAGTTCACTGCATCAGAGACACAGCCATGAACACTGTGAAACCCAGGGGATAATGGGAATTTCCACTGTGAGGAACTGTGATCCAGCCAGTTCACTGCATCAGAGACACAGCCAGGGACACTCTGAAACCCAGGGGATAATGGGAATTTCCACTGTGGGGGAACTGGGATCCAACCAGTTCAACAGAGACACAGCCATGCACACTGTAAAAAAACACTGCTGCAGTGTCACAGCCCTTGTGAAATTCATGGGATAATGAGAATTTCCAGTGTGGGAACTGTGATCCAGCCAGCTCAACAGAGACACAGCCATGAACACTCTGAAACCCATGGGATAATGGGCATTTCCACTGTGGGAACTGGGATCCAGCCAGTTCACTGCATCAGAGACACAGCCAGGGACACTGTGAAACCCATGGGATAATGGGAATTTCCAGTGTGGGGGAACTGGGATCCAGCCAGTTCAACAGAGACACAGCCATGAACACTGTAAAAAAACACTGCTGCAGTGTCACAGCCCTTGTGAAATTCATGGGATAATGAGAATTTCCAGTGTGGGAACTGGGATCCAGCCAGTTCAACAGAGACACAGCCAGGGACACTGTGAAACCCAGGGGATAATGGGAATTTCCAGTGTGGGGGAACTGGGATCCAGCCAGTTCACTGCAACAGAGACACAGCCATGAACACTGTGAAATTCATGGGATAATGAGAATTTCCAGTGTGGGAACTGTGATCCAGCCAGTTAACTGCAACAGAGACACAGCCATGGACACTGTAAAATCTACACTGCTACAGTGTCACAGACTTTGTCAAACCCATGGGATAATGGGCATTTCCACTGTGGGGAACTGGGATCCAACCAGTTCAACAAGAGCCATGCACATTGTAAAATCCACACAGCCCTTGTGAAATTAATGGGATAATGGGCATTTCCACTGTGGGAACTGTGATCCAGCCAGTTCACTGCAACACAGACACAGCCAGGGACACTAAAATCCACACTGCTGCAAGTGTCACAGCCCTTGTGAAATTCATGGGATAATGAGAATTTCCAGTGTGGGAACTGTGATCCAGCCAGTTCAACACAGACACAGCCATGAACACTGTGAAACTCATGGGATAATGGGAATTTCCACTGTGAGGAACTGAGATCCAACCAGTTCAACAAGAGCCATGCACATTGTAAAATCCACACAGCCCTTGTGAAATTCATGGGATAATGGGCATTTCCACTGTGGGGGAA